TCAAGACTAGAGCAGGGTCTTTAGCCCTACTCTGGATTTGAGGATGCCAAGGGTCAGTCCATCGCCAGATCATGAGGCAATGCTGTCTGCTGGAGACTTTGGTAAGAAAAACTGTTTCTCCTCTCCCCTGGACAAAACAAGCTATTAACCCCTGTATGGGCACAGCACCACTGCAAAAGATATTATTTTTGGACAGTACCTGATGTTGGCTTTTAAAGAAAACCTATCACAATTGGGCAATGCAGTTTGGCCAAATTATGAATCTGTAACGAGAGGATACTTTCTGTGAATAACATTTGTTAACATGTTTAGTAGATGAACACGCAAGTAGCTACATCTAAATCTAGACTTCTCCTATAAAGGTTGAACTTGGGCCCAACCTTTCAATCTGTCTACCCTCCCAAGTGGTCATTGAGCCACCCCATCACAATTATGAACCAATAGGGGGGCTTTGTAGGAAGGAGAGTAGTAAAGTAAAACTAATGGCAAAAGTTTTTTCCACTTTTGATAGAGTATGGGAGGGTTATAACCTCTTTCAGATTATTTTTTGCCATCTGTGTCCCATTGGGGAGATTTATCTTCACTTCCTGTCCCATAGCCAAAACAGGAAGTGAGAAAATCTCTGCAAATTAAAGCAAATTGCTTGGGGACCCCAAGGTCATCAGAACTAGTGTCCCCATTACAACATTTCCTTTCTATTACTTTTCTGAGGACAACCCAATTTTTTTCTTTCACTTTTGATCATATTGGTAAACATGACAATACAAGCGGGTGAATCTCCCTAATGGGGGCACAGACAGCAATAAAAACCTGACAGGTGTTCTAATCACTCTCCACACTGAAAAAAAAGTTTTGCCTTGAGTTATACATTAAATCAAGCTGGCCATACACTAATAGAAGTTCAGATAGGTCAGCAGGGACCAGATGAATTTTCAAACAGTGTGTGGCTGTCTCTGCTCAATAGAAGTCAACTGATTGATTGACTTCTGTCAAAGGAAAATGTTGAAAAATATTTCTCGAGCAGCGGCTGCAACCTATTCTCTGTATTCTGACAATTGCGGGTGCAGCTGCCACAATACAATGTCCTTGCTAGGATGATTCCTACATTCATTGGCTAGACACCAGTAGCATTTTTGTTCAAAATTCTGAAAAATTGTACATCAAAGCATTTGATCTTGCCATAATTGAGTCAACTAACTTTGAAAATCCTTAAAATTTCATCTAGACCTGCTACTTGAATGGAATACCAGATGTATTAAACAGATTTCTTTTGTGCCTAGCACATGCGTATTATGATACATATATTTATTCCAAAAGTGAACCACATTCCCAATTAGAATTTTGTTCAGTCAAGAAACTCTTGCATTCTACTCCTTTGAATTTTCTTGTTACTAAGGTTGAAAACAACTGTCAATTTAACCCCGATAACCAATAGCAATCAAACAAAGTTCAGAAAACGAACATTTTACTGGAGTACAGCCATCTAAGACGAGATCATTTGTGCATTTGTGAACACTACCTCGTCAGCTCATTTAAACTATAGATTGATTACATTGCTGGTGAAAACTGAGAGCAGACTACCATTCAATATGAACATATAAAATGTAAATAACAAAGACTAAAATATGTTCCACTGCAGAAGTAAAGTCACAGGTTGCTTGACTGTGCTATGAGATAAGAAACGATTATACTTCTATATGAGAAACATAATTGCAGCATTTGCATAAGACAAATCAGGGAGATGCAACAGCCATGTGGCAAATCAAATTTAACCATGTTAAATTATCATTTTAGATGTTTCATCACCATTTCATAGTTTAGAGTTTCTGCTAAAACTGGAAGAAAAAAAAAAAAAAAAAGAGTATGTACAACAGGCACGATACAGGAGATTTTAAATGACAGAAACACACTTTTATATTGCAAAGGTATAATTAAAAATGATGTATATTTCAGAGCTACCTTCATGGCAGCCATGTTGGCCTAGAACTCCAGTATGAATGTAAATTATGGGTTCTTTTAAGATAATACTTTACTGTAGTTGAACCCGCTGGGGCAGAAAATACCAAACCCGAAAATTCTGTGAGGAATTTGTAAACAAGAAAAAAAGTTGTAGAAAAAAAGTAGGAAAAAAAAGAAGAAAGGAATTAGAAACGTGCTGACTCATGATGCTCAGCTTCTGTGAAGCAAATATTTTTATGGTGGTGGAATGAGACCTTCAAAAGTTGACTCTGTTGACTCTTGTCTTTGATCTTTCAAAGTGCTGGTACCAGATGTTAAATACGGTCCTCAAATTTGCTCTTCACAGGTGACATATCCATTCATTTCTAGCAGCTCAAGCTTAAAAAAAACACCTGCAATAAAATAATGATTTCACAAGCCTCTCTAGAGATACTCTTCCTGGTATCTGATTTTAAAACAGAATTTCACCCCTTTTGTGTAATTTTTTTTTACATCCCCTCTTACCTTTTTGGTTTTTTCACAATAAACATCATCCCATACCTGGAGAATCCAGTGTTGTCCTGCTATAATCCACTGCTCCACTGCTGCACCCTTGGTCCTGCGCCTACATCCTCTTTTCTTACATCATTGGGAGCCCATTTTCTCTCTTCTGGGTTCTTCCTGTTGGCCCATTGATGATGCTCCACCAGGTTCACCCTCCTTTAAGCCAGCAATAGATGGATTGAATCTTGGCCAGTTTAGTAGGGACCAGCCAAGATTCGATCCATCCATGTGTGGGTTGGTTGTACTGAAGTCAATCCATTGCCTCTGTGTTTATTTTTTGCCCTATACGAAAAAAAAGACCAATAATTTTGAGAATAAAACAGTATTTTTTACTTTTTGCTATTAAACATGTCCAGTAAAAAAATTCATCCTCTTTTCTTATGTCATTGGGAGCCTATTTTCTCTTCTGGGTTCTTGCAGCTGGCCCCTTGATGATGCTCCACCAGGTTCATTGCTTTGGCCAATCACAATGCACTGTCAGGGTGCAGTGCATTCTGGTGCACAGTGGGCATACAGCCTGGCAAACGCCCTTACCGCTCATGTGTACACAAAAAAGCAGCCGACGATCGAGTCGAACTTATGTTCGACTCAAACATCAAGCAACACACTAGTGAGCACCACTCTCTGCATGATTACACTGTGAATAAAGGACAATGCAGTACTGCTGGGCATCACAGAAGCAGGATAACCTAGGACATCTTTTGGAAGACAGCCTGAGACTAGCTAGGTTCTAACCTATTAAAGATGCGGATGATGCATTTTTCCCTGTGCATTCTGCGGTGTGGTTTATGTTTTCCACACGCTTTTTTGATGCATTTTGCGCTTTTGGAATGTGTTAGTGCTTCTGGGGGGAGAGATGTATGTTGTCATACAAGAAACACACAAAAAAATGCACGTACATGCATTTTTTATACGTTTTTGATACGGTTTCATTAAAGTCTATGGAACCAAAAATGTAATCTGCTGTTGGCAAAAAAGTCCCTGACCCTTTCCAAAAAACGCACTGGTTATAAACGCACAGATGTGAACGTAACCCATAGGAAATAATGTTAAAGCGGTAGTAAACTACAGGAAAGGAGAAAAAAAAAAGTCCCTTGCAAGGTAATGTCATATCGTACCAGTATGCATCGCATACTAGCATATTATGCAAAACTTACCTTCAAATGAAGCCCTCCAGTGGCATGCTGTCACCACTATAGAGGCTTCCACCTTCTCCCATATTCCTTCCAGGCTCATGAGCTCCGACCATCTGACAGACAGGGACATGATGATGTCACTCCCGCGCATGCAATGGCACAGATATGCTGTTCCTTTAGAGCGCATGCGTTGGCTTAAAAAAAAGAGAGAATATCTCTTAAACGGTGCACATTTAGGAGATGTTAATTTTACCTACAGGTAAGCTTTATTTTTAGCTTACCTGTAGGTAAAATAAAAAACGAATATGTTTACTACCACTTTAAATAGACAGCAGTGCGTTTCTGCAAATCTGAAAATGCACTGCAAAACGCATAGATGTAAACACATAGTTGTAAACCTAGCCCAATGATATGCATTGCAGCCAAAGCTGCCAATGCAACCTTTTTGTAAATAAAAAAAAAATACCCTGGATTTGGGATTTAACAGAGCACACAAATTAGTAGAAACCTTAAAATGTACGGAAAATAGACATTTAGTCAGTTAGTATACAATCATTTATCATTTTATTGTATTGGAGTGTTACTTTAAAAAAAAATTAGAGAGTAATAAAATCTTGTTTTGGACACCCTGTTGCAGCCCACTTGCAGGGAAGGAATCCAGCTATGTCCCATGTATTTCCCAAGATAGACTGCGTTCACATTAAATAAATGAAACAAATTATTGATGCATTTTTGCCACATTTTCTGGACTCCTGACTCCAATTGTGGACCTAAGAAACTTGGACATGTGATTTAAAAAAAAAAATTGCACCAAAATCGCAATGCAGGTGCATTTTGTATGCTTTTTTGGTGTGTTTTCTATAAAATTCAATAGGAGATCCATTTTGAAAAGCACACCAAAGATGCAGCATGCAGGACATTTAACCATTTGCCCTCCAGAGGATTTACACCCCTTCCTGACCAGGCCATTTTTTGCGATACGGCGCTGCTTTATTTTAACTGACAATTGTGTGGTCATACAACGTTGCACCCAAATGAAATTTATATCTTTTTCACCACAAATAGAGCTTTCTTTCAGTGATATTTGATTGCCTCTGCGTTTATTTTTTGCCCTATACAAAAAAAAAAAAAACAATTTGAGAATAAAACAATATTTTTTACTTTCTGCTATTAAACATGTCCAGTAAAAAATTTAAAATATCTAATTTCATCATAAATTTAGGTCAAAATGTATTGTGCTACATGTGTTTGCTAAAAAAATAACAAAACTTGTAAATTAATTGGTTTACGTGAAAGTTATAGCGTCTACAAATGGCGGTATAGATACTGGATTTTTTTTTAAAATACTAGTAATGGCAGCGATCAGTGACTTATAGCGGGACTGCGGCGGGCAATCTGACACTGGGGGGAACTGACTAAGGCTACATTCACACTAGCTTTGTCAGCAGGCGTCAGACAGGAGTTTGGGAAGTGTTTTGAACGCTTCTCAAATGCCTATGGAAATCTGCACATGGCAGCACACAGTGCTGTTCACACTGAAGCGTCAGCATCACGTCTTATTGCGTCACAGCAAAACTGGCGCCTCATGTCGAGTCAGAAGGAGTTGAAGCCTCCCATTCAAGTCTATGGTGCCGCTCCTCAAACACCTGGCAGGCATTTGCGGGGCATTTGTGAGGCGGCTGCGGAGCGTTAATACCATTTAACTTCATTATAGGCGTTTGTGGTGCGGTTTTAACGCTTGGCAAACACCTAAAAAATGCGCATAGGGCATTTGGGGGGCGTTTGGGGAGTGTTTGGGGAGCGTTAAAAACACTTCCCAAACACCTGTCTAACGCCTGTCAAACGCTATAGGGGCGTTTGGCAAGAGTTAGAAATAGGTCACGTGTGAACGAGCCCTAACTGTCACTGACATCCCCAGTGATACCAATACAGTGATCAGTGCTAATAAAAAACATCTGACACTGTACTACTGACAATGGGCAGGAAGGGGTTAACATCTGGGGCGATCAGTGGGTTAACTGTGTGCTGTGTGTGTGTGTTTTACAGTGCAAGCACATTGCTTTGTATTGCTCTGCTATGCAGAGCAATACAAAGCAATGTGCAGGAGCTGACGGGAGAGATCTGTATTGTTTACATACAGGTCTCTCCCCCGTTGGTGATACATGGCGATCACCGGGTGCTGGTGGGGAATATCCTGCCCGGCCCCCGTGATTGACAGGTGAGGCTGCCAATGGTGGCGCAGTTAGGCCCCTACCCAGAAATGCAAAATCACGTATATACCTACCCTACCCTGCCGCCTTGTAGCAGTAGTTCTGCTATAGGGCAGCGGGAAAGCGGTTAAAAATGCACCTACAGCACACTAGTGTGAAGAGTGCCATAGGATTTAAAAGGAATACATTTTTCATGTATTTTTCTTCCTCTTTTTTTTTTGCATCAAAAACAGATCAATGTGAAAGGGCCATTAATGCAAAAGTTTACATTTTCTTTACTTTAAAAAATAGAAAAATACTCTAGGGGCCCATTCCCACCTGCAAATGGGGCAATCGGCGTTTACATACAGGAGACTCAAGGGCTGCCGTCAATTAGCTATGTGTGCCAGCCCCATAAATGGGAGGCTGAGAACTTCCGCAACTGCAGCTGCTCACATGTAGTCACTATCGGAACAAATACCTGCAAATCTCCTAGATTGTAAGCTCCAAGGAGCAAGGCCCTCCTTTCCCTCTTGTATTGAACTGTATTGTTGCTGTATTGTCTCCCGTTATATTGTAAAGCGCTGAGCAAACTGTTGGCGCTATATAAATCCTGTATAATAATAATAATATTCAACTCAGGACAAAAATCAAACTGTGTATGATTTTTTTCAGTCATAAGAAATACTTCTCCAATAGTTCCTCTTGTAAACAGAGTTGTTACATCCATTTTCAAGCTAAGTTGCATTTACTAACAATGAAACCACTTGTCTGTCCATTATCAGAGTATTCAGTGACTCATTGCTACTTTGTTTCCAGGAATTGGTGACAGCCTACCCTGTATCATGCACAAGCCCCTGATTCAAAACTGATAAATCAGACATGGCCAAGAGAGAAATTCCTAGGTTTTGTAGTTGGAAAGATCAGGTGTCTGAACACAACTTTGTCTGAAGCACTAACCACTCAGACTTGGTCATTCATGACAGATCGCTGTAAATACGCAACAGCCATCTCTAAGAAGGCTGCTCTGATACTGTACACTAGGGTGTATAATTAGAGGTCAGCATTCCCAGCAACTCCAGAAAATTAGAGGGAGAAATCTTCCCTGCAGACAATGACATTCCTAGACTCCAGGGCGAACCTAGACAGCTGAATAATCCGAATGCACAAGTCTCCATTAAGAAATGAGCATGTTTTCTACATAGAACAAAAGTGAACCTTTATTGTATTTTATTGTCTAGTTAAAGTGTTACTAAACCCAGGACCCTGCATTCACTATATCTCGTCTCCTGCAGTACACCGAACATGGAAATGCAATTATTTTAGTTAATATAAACTGTTAAATACCTTTTCTTATGAACAGTATATAGCAGTCTTGTGACTTCTATCAGTGTCCAGCTGAGCACTGGTTAATCCTGTAGGAGCAGTTTTCATTCTCCTCTGACTGTCCTATGAGGCTGCATAACCCCTGACCCTCTGTCTGGACAGTGCTGATTGGCCCTGTGCTGATCACATGCACTCTCCCAAAGAAAAAGAAAAACTCTCTAGCATTGCACATTAAACTGAGCATGTGCAGAGTTACCCCTAGAGCTCTGTACTATCAGCAGATGGATTGGGGACAGTAGAAGAAGGGGAAGATCAGATAAGACAGGATCAAACAGCCTTTTTACACAATGTGGACGATTAACCCCTTAGGTTCCACAGTGAGTATATCAAGCATACTTTACTGCATATACAGACTGATTTTACTGTTGTGGGTTTAGTAACACTTTAAGACAACACTTTAATGTACTTCACTTCTAGAAACAGATGTAAAAGTAATGGCTTCTATCTACCTTTAAATCTTATTATAATTGAGTTTCATGTCCATTTTCAGTAACTTTATCAAAGCCAAATTTGAAATTGAAACAAACTTTCAGGTTGAAATGTTTTGTTATAGGGAGGTTATAGATTTTGTTGTATTATTGAACAATTATGGCTGATTTTGATTTATTAAAGCATTAGAAATAGAAATAAAGTACCTCAAAGAACTTCTAGATCCAATTACTAAAGGCTCCTTCACATGGATGGCCCAGGGGAGGTAATAGCAGGATGTTGAAACACTTAGGGATGTACAAATGCGGCAGCAAAAATTAAATGGCATGTTGCATTTGGCAGGCGGTATCACCACTAAAGTGCCTCGTTCAAATAAATGGGGCCAGGCCACAACCACCCTGCAATGCACGCAGTTAAGGTGCGATGGGTTGGCATTTTGACAGTTAAAACAGGTCCTATGTTGCTTACACACAGCCTGTCAAACGCCCTCTGAAAAGTGATCCACCTCAGATCACTTTTCAGAGGGACGGCAGAGGGGCTACAAGTTTGAATGAGCCCTAAAATCTATGCGTGTACGTGGAAATGCTTTTTATACAGAATTATGCAGGTGCGTTGTCATACGTCAGCATGTGTTTCCTTTATTCATTAAAGTGTTACTAAACCCAGGACCCTGCATTCACTATATCTCGCCATCCACAGTACACAGAAAATGGAAGTGTAATTATTTTAGTAAATATAAACTGCTAAATACCTTTTCTCATCAGCAGTTAGAGCAGTCTTGTGACTTCTATCAGTGTCCGGCTGAGCACTAGTTAAAGCATGTAGGAGGAGTTTTCATTCTGCTCTGACTGTCCTATGAAGCTACATAACCCCTAATCCTCTGTCTGAGCAGTGCTGATTGGCCTTGCAAAGATCACATGCTCTCTCCAAAAGAAGAATTCTCTAGCCATACACTTTAAACTGAGTATGTGCAGAGTGACTCCTAGAGCTCTGTACTATCAGCAAATGGATTGGGGACAATAGAAGAAGGGGAGGATCACAGAAGGTTCCACAGTGAGTATAACAAGTATGCTTTACTGCATATACAGACTGATTTTATTGTTGTGGGTTTAGTAAGGCTCCCTTCACACCAATGCGTTATTTAGTGCTTTTTGCAGAAACACACACTACAGTCCACTTAACCACTTGCCCTCCAGAGGATTTACCCCTCTTCATGACCAGGCCATTTCTTGCGTTATGGCGCTGTGTTATTTTAACTGACAATTGCGTGGTCATGCAACTCTGCACACAAATGGAATTTATGTCCTTTTTTTCCAATGAATTGAGCTTTCTTTCAGTGGTATTTGATCGCCTGTGCATTTTTTATTTTTTGCGCTATAAGTAAAAAAAGACCAACAATTAAAAAAAAATATATTTTTTTTTTTTTTTTACTTTTTGCTATTAAACATGTCCAGTAAACAAATTTAAAAAATCAATTTTCGGCATAAATTTAGACCAAAATGTATTCTGCGACATGTCTTTGCTAAAAAAAAAATCCCAATACGTGTAAATTAATTGGTTTACGTGAAAGTTATAGAGTTTACAAATGGCAGTATAGATAACGGGATTTTTTTTTTCTACAGTAATGGCGGCGATCAGCGACTTTTAGCAGGACTGTGGGACTGCGATGGACATTCTGACACTGGGGGGGAACTAACTTGGTGTCATTGACATCTCCAGGGACACCAATACAGTGAACAGTGCTAAAAAAAAAAGCACTGACACTGTACTAATGGCACTGGGCAGGAAGGAGTTAATGTGAGGGATGATCAAAGGGTTAACTGTGTGCTGGGAGTGTTTTACTAGGGGGTGGGGGGGGTGTTCTTCACTGTAAGCACATTGATCAAGATGGCTGTATTGTGCACAGCCATCCTGAGCAGTGTGCTCGAGCTGACAGGGAGGAAGATTGTTTGTAAACAAAACAATCTTCCTCCCCGTCGGAGATGCTCGGTAATCACCATGCGGCAGCGGGTAATTACTGGCCGGGACCTGGTGATTGACATCCACGGCCGCGAATGGCGGCGTGGGTAGGGCTCGCGCGTGCCTCCTACCCGGAGATGCAAAATCATGTGTATATATACGCGATGTTGCGCACAGGTGCCACCCTGTAGCAGTATATCTGCTATAGGGCGGTCCTTCAGTGGTTAACATGGTTTCCTATGGAACATGGTCACATCTATGCTTTCTTGAGCTGCTGAGTTTTTGTAAAGGGTCAGGGACTTTTTTTAAAGCAAAAAGCAGCATTTTTGCTACTATAGATCTCAATGGAGAAGCTGCTGAAAAGCATGATTGCGTTTTTGCCGTGTTTTGCGTTTTGCATTTTTATTCTGCCCAGCACCAAGAAAAAATTCAAAACAAACTGTAAAAAGCACTGGAGAAAGCATCAAACTCAAAATGCATATATGTGAAGCAAGCCTAATTATATGCCACATAGTGGCATCCATGTGTGTCTAGCAAAGAGAAATTTGCCACAGAAACACTCCTTTCCCACGCTGCATTCTGGTGTGAACAAGCCCTTAACACCAATCTTATTTATCAATCATAATTAGAATTATTATTCCAGTCATACTTTGGATCAGATAGACAAAACCAGCAAAGTTAACCAGTTCCCGACCGCAATATAGCCAAAAGGCAGGTACAGGGTGTAGCAATCGTACGTACAGATATGGACGCGGACATCCATCTTGCTCAAGATCCACCATCTTTTGTCATTCTCACTCCAAATCAGCCCCCTCCCTTTTTCTTGTATGACATGTGGTCTGTGTATGTGCTGAGTTCAGGAGTACATCGGGCACAGCTAGATACACTTCATGGTTGTAAACCCAATTAGCTGATGCCATGGTGTCTGACAGACTGTTGCTCTGAGCTGATCGTAAAGCTATAAACCCGTCAGTCACTGGACTTGAAAGCATTCCGGAATAGCAGTAAAACCTACATCCCATTTGAAACCACTTTTTCATACAATTTCATAACTTTCGGCAGGATATAATACAATAAAACAAAGCATATATTCAGATAGGTCAGTTTAATGCAAGTCCCTGATACCTTACATCCCTAGATTACGTCTACCCGAGAGCAAAAAGCGATATCTCCTAAACCGTCCCAAGCAGATATGTCATATCTGGTATCTGGACGTTCAGAATATCATTCTGCATATTATCCTACCAGTGGATAGGATGCTACATGTACCTATGGAAGGTTATTGACCATGGTATAACTTGGGAGGGATTTGGGCCCTAGCCTGGGTCTCCACCTAAAACCCCCTCCCCAAATGAGGCCATTGGCCCTTGGCTTCAGAGACACCTCCTGCTGGTGGACTAGAAAATAGGCTGTCAGGCCTGGAGAAGTAAGATAAAGAGATTCTCCCTTTTAACATCAGGAACCACCTTTGGGAGAAACGGTACCCTTTTGTTCAGGACATTTGAATCTGCTTAAACCAAGTACTTTGGCAAGTATTCTACCTCTCTAAACTTCTTTCTGTTATCTCTCTGCTGTGTTATTGCTCTCTGTATTTATATATATATATATATATATATATATATATATATTGGCTACATCTTTTTCTGTATATATTTTTATTGCACCATTTTGACCTTTTTATTATTATTATACAGGATTTATATAGCGCCATCAGTTTGCTCAGCGCTTTACAATATTTTTAGTAATAAATCCTATTTTCTGAAAAGTGTTGAACTGTTTCTAAAGCTCTTTAATGCAAACTAAGAATCCCTGTCTCTGAAGAGCGCTACTGTTTGTTTTAAACTTCTGCATACATCTGCCTGCGGTGACAGTGTGTATACGGATGCTTATTCAAACATCATAGTGTTACTGCTAAGATTGGTGAGTTTCCTCCTCTGTACAAAAAGGTGGTGGTGGCAGTGTGAAGGGTTAATTGCGTAATTAACCTGACCCAGTAACAATCGCTCTCAGGCTGCGGCACATAGATTGCACTCCAGTGAGCTGGAAAATCTTTGTGCAGCGTGCAGCTGAGCGTGGCATTGTTACGCATGTGACAGCGCAGTTTTAGATTGGCTAATCCTTTGGTCACAAGTCAGTGAGAAGGGCTGGGGGTCTGGCGCTGCGCCCGTCACACAGGGCGGTCGGCTAGTTCTGGGAGGACATCCATGGACATCCTCCCACAAACACGCCCCCCGTGTGCCACCTGAGGTACGCACCAAGTGCGATCTGTGATCGCTGTGTCCTTCGGACACAGCTGATCACACATCCAAATAAAGGGCCAATTGGAGTGACCTTTTACCGTGTGATCAGCTGTATCCAATCACAGCTGATCACAGTGTAAATAGGAAATGCAGATTATCGGCAGTCCTCTCCTCATGCTGACAGTGCATGAGGAGAGCCGGTAAGCAATGGAGCACTATTCCTCCCATTGACACCAACAATGGGGAAATATTCTTCCCACTGACACAAATATTGGACCACTATTCCTCCCACTAACAATATTGGTGCAGCATTCCTCACACTGACACCAACAATGGAACAGTATTCCTCCCACTGACACATTGGGGCATTATTCCTTCCATTGACACCAACAAGGTGACAATATTCCTCACACTGACACCAATAATGGGACAGTGTGCCTCCCAATGACATCAACAATGGGGCACTATTCCTTCTACTGACACCAATGATGAAACAGTATTCCTCCCTTTGATACCAACAATGGGGCACTTTTCCTAACACTGATGCCAATGTTGAGGCACTATTCATTCCATTTACACCAACAATGCAGCAGTGTTCCTTCCACTGACACCAATGATGGGGCACTATTCTTCCCACTGACACCAACAATGGAATGTTACTCCTAGTGACTCCTACAATGGGGCACTAGTTCTTTCACTGAAAACAATGATGGGGCTTTGTTCCTCCCACTGACACCAACATTGGGGTACTGTTCCTCCCACCAACACCAAGAATGGTGCATCACACCTCCCACTAACACCAACAATGGGGCATAATTTCTGCCACCGACACCAACAATACTGGAGCAGTATTCTTCTCATGGACACTGACAATGAGTCACTAACCACATAGGTTAAACTGAATAGACTAGTGTCTTTAATCAACTTTGCCAACCTTGCATTCCTCACAGAACATCAGAACACTGATTATCAGTGTAGCCCCATCATTGCGGCTAATAATGCCCATCAGTGCTTTGTATCAGTGCCCATCAGTGCTTTGTATCAGTGCTGGCTGGCTGTGATTGTTTAGCAAAATATAAAAAAAAAGTAGTGATCCAATGCCACCAAAAGAAAGCTCTATTTGTCTAAAAATAATTATAACAATTTTATTTGGGTACACTGTTGCATGACAGCACAATTGTCATTTAAAGTGCAACAGCACTGAAAGCTGAAAATTGGCCTGGGCAGGAAGGGAGTAAAAGTACCCGGTAGGCAAGTGGTTAAAAAGAAAACTTGTGTGCTAATGTCCGTCATGCTTCAGGTGATTGTAGCCATATTTGTGCACCAGCAACAAAAACAAATAAGTATTGTTTGTGATAATTTTTAATTTGCACTAAGATTCAAATTTTCAGGACACATTTTCGGGTGTACCCCCTTCTTCAAGGTAGAGGAATTACTAGTACTGCTTGGACCTTAAAGAATGGGGTACACCCCTGAAAAGTTTGATTTAAGTGCAAATAAATAAAGTATCGGGAACAATACCCAATTGTTCTCATGTCTATCATAACTGATGTTTTTTTAACCGCTTGCCCGCCGCCCTATAGAAGAACTACTGCTACAAGGCAGCAGGGCTGTGCAAAATCACGTACAGTTGTGTTCAAAATAATAGCAGTGTGTTGAAAAAAGTGAATAAAGCTCAAAATCCTTCGAATAGCTTTTATTTCCATACACACAAATGCATTGGGAACAATACACATTCTATTCCAAATCAAAACATGAAGAAAAATATATCAAATTTGTGTTGTTCCTCTAAAAAAATTGAAGAAAAGTGAATATTAGACTGTTCAAAAAAAATAGCTGTTTGTATTCTTCTTTATAAACTCAAACATTCACTATATAAACTGAAAAATGTTTGAAGATTTTGCTTTCCTTTGAATCACTTAATGAATATTTAGTTGTATAGGCACTGTTTCTGAGAACTGCTGTACATCTGTGTTGCATGGAGTCAACCAACTTCTGGCACCTGTGAACAGGTATTGCAGCCCAGGATGATTGGACTACATTCTACAGTTCTCTGTTTCTTGGTTTTGCCTCAGAAACTGCATTTTTGATGTCACCCCACAAGTTTTCTATTGGATTAAGATCCAGGGATTGGGCTGGCTACTCCATAACATCAATCTTGTTGGTCTGGAACCAAGATGTTGCACGTTTACTGGTGTGTTTGGGGTCGTTGTCTTGTTGGAACACCCATTTCAAGGGCATTTCCTCTTCAGCATAAGGCAGCATGACCTCTTCAAGTATTCTGATGTATTCAAATTGATCCATGATCCGTGGTATGCCATAAATAGGCCCAACACCGTAGTATGAGAAACATCCCCATATCATGATGACCTCTTCAAGTATTCTGATGTATTCAAATTGATCCATGATCCCTGGTATGCCATAAATAGGCCCAACACCGTAGTATGAGAAACATCCCCATATCATGATGCTTGCGCAACCATGCTTCACTGTCTTCACATCTTCACAGAAAAATGCACTGTAACCAGCATGTACAACATTTGCTGCCTTCCTTCCTTAAATAAGGGCAATAATTGCCACCTGTTTTTCAAAGAATGAATGACCTCACTAATACAACTCCACACTGCTATTATTTTGAACATGCCCCTTTCAATTAGTGATTCAATTACACAGAATCAGCAGCATGCATGTCATGACTGTTGGGTCTGTTGGATTTCTATTACTCTACTACACCTGCTAGTAAATTATTCGCCATGTAGAAATATAATTTCTACCAAAAACAGTGATTGATCAGGTTAGTGATGTCTGACTGCTATTATTTTGAACACAACTGTATATATACGTAATTTGCATTTCCAGGTGAGG